TAAAAAAAAAAAAAAAAAAAAAAAAAACTTTCCTGCATGTGACTCCAAATCCACAATGTGGTTGACTCTGAAGTGGCCTCTAAATGGCCTAACAAGCCAATTAGTTGTACCAAGGTGTAGAGCTGGATGAACACAGCAGGCCAAGTGACGTTTTGGGCCTAGACCCTTCAGAAATTTTCTGAAGAAGGGTCTAGGCCCGAAACGTCAGCTTTCCTGCTCGGCCTGCTGTGTTCATCCAGCTCTACACCTTGGTATCTCAGATTCTCCAGCATCTGCAGTTCCTACTATCTCTGAATTAGTTGTACCAATCATTTTGAAATGAACGTGGACAGCTCACCTGGAATTGAACAAGGCACCAGGAAAGATGACAGCAGAAACAGCCCATCAACCCTGCAAAGCCCTCCTCACTAACATCTGGGGGCTAGTGCCAAAATTGGGTACTTACCAACTGATTAAGGTTGGCATTCAATTTTAAAATCATCATTTTAGCACTGGTCCCATGTGATATTTCCACTAAAGTAATTCAGAGAACATTAATATCCTTACCGTTTTCCCTTTCACCCATTCTGTAGCCAGTGAGCTAGATGCAATTGCCGATCCACAGCCAAATGTTTTAAATCTTGCATCAATAATTTTCCCATTTTCATCCACTTCAATCTACAGAAGATAGTCAAAATGCAAACAAATTGTAACAGTTATAATCTATCACAAAATTAACATCATTTGATTATTAACCAGGCAGAATTGCAGCATAATCCAAACTGAAACTTCTAGATGACAGAGGAGAAACAGCAGCCACACAATTCCTTGCAGTTTCCACAGGACAATGCAACAGGCTGGTCATATCCTCAAAAGAGGGGAGTTACCATTTGCTCTCAATGTGATCCTGATCTTTCAGGACAAATTGGCTAGAAATATGTGTAGCATAATTAGGAAATGGCGGAGCACTAAAAATACTGAAGAACTTCAGATCAATCAAACAAGATGAAACAGAATTGAATCATGAAGGAACCACTTTCTGGTTGTTAAATGTTCAATGAAGCCAAACACTAAAAGAGTGCAATGCTGACTACAAAAAAGCAAATCTTCTCTGAAATGTGTATGTATATATTAGCACATCCATGTCAGCCCATGGGTCATAAGCTCACTCTCTCCATATGCACCCAATGTTGCTGACATACATTCCACACATGGCCCAAGTGCTCTCACTTCACCACTGTCCTTGGTACTGCACACTCAGCCTATTGCTGAGATGTTAGTCCTATTTAAGGACACAGGAGTCAAGATAGAAAAGTGGGCGAGCGAGGGAGCGAGCGAGCCTTGATCCACTGTGATGATCGAGAATTAGGGACTCAGTCTGCCTCTAGCTCAGGTTTAGTTGGTTCCTTCTGCTGCTTGGTACTTAAATTGTCACGTAGTTTTTTTGTTTAAATTATAATTACTTAGACATTAAACAAAAATCAATGTCGTGTTTAGTGTTGTGCCAAATCATGTCTTTCTGAAATAATCATTCAGTCCTTGAATGAGAAAAGAATTGAAATCTGGTTGCTCACAAAGAGTTGGACAACCCTGAGTCAGACTTTTGTAGGTGCTCACTTCTGTCAATATCATGTCAGCTACAACTCAACACAGTCAATCTGCAAATTCTCCATACCATTTGACTACAAAATGTTAGTGATTTGTTTAGAGATATCACTGGATCCAAGCAACCAGGATACAGGTAATTCAACAACTATTTTCATTTTATATCTCCTACAACAGTACGAGTTTCTATTAGTTGTAGCTATTACTGAATGAACAACAGCCTTTCTTTTGAAGGAAGTTCATACTTCTAGAAATACCCTATTAAGTTTGAGGAACTGTTTAAAAAAAACTGCATGGTTTCTGGTGTGCTACACTATTCAGTTTTCTGTCTGTGTCTCCTCACTTGAATGCACCAATGCTTGAGAGGATGGCTCCATAGGCATTAATAGCTTTACAGGTTTGAAGAACATGCTATGTTTAAATGCAAATTTATCTTTGGATCACTGATCAAAAGTTGAGCTCAAAATTTAATTCATCTAACTCTGTGGCACCGAAGCCAACTGTTGAGCTGAGAACAGCTCGTTCATCCAAAGAGCTCTCTGAAATGTTGACCCATATCTTACCTTTGGGAAGCAAACTGAACCATTATATTCAGCCCTTTAACTTTGCTAAATAAATTAAAAAGGGACGCATATAATGGCTCAATTGGTAATGCTATGTTTAAATGCATTGCTACCCATATCCTGGATCACCACATGTGAAAAAAATCTTTACCTGTAGTTTCATGACATCACCACAAGCCGGTGCACCGACCAGGCCAGTTCCAACGTTTTTTGCATTCTTATCCAAGGATCCAACATTTCTGGGATTCTCATAGTGGTCCACTACCTGCAGTGTAAGGAAATCCAATAGTGCAAGTCATGATGACTCAATAGAACTCCAGCTTCTGAATTAGAAACTGTGTTCCAGTTCCAGTTTATTTTAAGCACAAAAAAAAAATCAAGCCTGAAGTCCAGTTCAGGACTGACAGAACGCAGTGCTGTCAGAACTGTCGTCATTTGAAAGACATCAGTCTGCCCTATCAGGTGGATGGAAAAGATTCCACCGCATTACCTCCAGAGTTCTTGTCAGAATCTATCCAGAGATAATTTGGTCATAAGACCATATAGCGCTTTGTGGAAATTTTATTTGCAATGTGCAAATAGGCTGCTGCGTTGCATACGTTACAATATGGACTAGACATTAAGAGTACTTCACCGGCTGTACAGCACTGCTGCCCAAAATAGTGAACAACACTTTATAAATTCAATTACTACTTCCTCTCCTCTCTCCTCCCCAAAACCCCCCCGCCCCACACTGAGTAAACTATTTCCATCTGGACTATGACCCCATCGCTAATCATAGGTCTCCACAGATGATGTCAGGGCCTATCTCCATTACCGCTTCCCACCTCATTATCCCCCAACCCTGCACAGCCTGCTACAACCTTCTTCCCAAAATCCACAAACTAGGCTGCCTGGGCAGATCCACAATTTCAGTCTTCTCCCTGATCCACATATTTCTTATTTTCCTCTTGTTCACTTTCTTCCCATATACACGTGACTCTTCTGATGCTTTACATTGGCTCCACAATTTGTATTTTTGGCCCTAGCTGCCACCCCTTCACAGTGAATATACAATCCCTCAATTTCTATCCTTTTCACTTCCATCAGGTCCACTTCTGACTCTTCCTTTCTCTTTCCATTTCTGGGGATATGGTGTCCACCAATATCCACTACAAACCCATCAACTCTCGACAGTTGTAGTAGGAACTGCCGATGCTGGAGGATCTGAGATAACAAGGTGTAGAGCTGGATGAACACAGCAGGCC